AGAAGCCCAGCACATCACCCCAAATCAGATATCCTTATCTCTGAGGAGACAGGAAGTGTCAGTCTGCTAGAAACCCTTTTCTAAAAGTTCTTTTGCTGCAAGGATGCATGGCCATGATAAGAAAGACATGGACCTGCTGAAGCAGATCTCTTAGTGGGCTGAGGAGATGATGGGGGGCTGGAGCAAGTGGTGTCCACCCAAAGCAAGCACACCACCCGGAGGGGCTTGTGCCAGCAGCAGGGAGAGATCTGCATTAGTGTATCCAAGTCTGTGTTCTACAAACAGGAGAGTTTGTGGGATGCACTGGAAGACCAAAGCATGCCAGTGAGTGGTAGAACTGGGGAAATAAATCCTAAAAGAGGACTTGGTACACTTTTTAACCCCAGTGATATCTACAATCCCAGCTTAGTGCTGAATGAGACTGGAAAAGTCTGGGGAGAAGAAAGAAGGAGGAGTCATCGGAGACTATGATGCCATAAAACTTTATTGAGGTAGAAGAATGAAAGATCATCAGCATCCCAGTAGAAAAGAGGAGGATGAGGTGCAAGGAGGGTGATCATCAACCAATCTCCTTTCCTCACAGAAGGTTTCTCCAGAGCAGCAAGGACTTCCAGCCCCACGGTGGGAGCAGCGCACCAGAGGTGCCCAGTGGCCTCTGGCCTGGGAGAAGGCGTTTGCAGCAGAGGGGACTGGGCAGAGCCAAAGGGACACTGCAGAGCAGGGAGAGGGAGAAGAGGAGGCGGATGGGCCACGCCTGCAGACAGCCTGGCCCGGCCCTTTAGCAGGTGTAGCCATAGCCCCTCCTGCCATAGCAGCCCAGGCCTCCCAGCCCGTAGCCAAACCCACGGCCGTAGCCAAGGCCGTAGCCAAAGCCACCAAAGCCACCAGAGATGGGCTGTCCCTGGGCACTGAGCTCAGTGCCCACGGCAGCCGAGGAGGTGGATCCGACGGCGGTGTTCTGGGGGAAGGAGGTCATGATGGGTCCTGGCAGGGTGACCAGCACAGGGGAAGGGTTGATGATGACGCGGGAATCCTGGCACTGCAGGGCACAGGGCTCGTTGCAGCTGTTGGCCAGCGGGGTGGGTCCGCAGGGCTGGCAGAGGGTGTTGCAGGCCATGGGTGTGGAGTGGAGGGTCCTGGAAGAGAGGGGGTGAGGTAGGACAGGGTTGTAGGGTTGTAAGAGCTGGTGGTGGCAGGGTGAGGGAGTGTGGAGGCTGTTGTGGGGCTGTGGGGCTGCTGAGGCTGGGGCTGAGTGTGGTGGAAGAGAGGGGCCAGGGGTGCAGGAGCAGGAGGGTCAGGGGATTGAGGCTCACCTCGTTGTCAGCAGGAGCAGGAGGAGAAGGTGTCAGGAGAAGTGTGTGAGGGACAGAGGCTCTGGGCTGGCTTTTATGCTGGTCTGAAGGGGTGGGACAGCTTTGTCCCATGGCCTTGGGGCATTTTGCAGGCAACAGCTCTCGCCTGGGCCAGCTTAGAGAGTCATGAGGTGAGGAGTGTTTTCCTCCTTGTCTGCAATTCTGTGTCATGATCTTGAAACCATTTCCATCTGACCTTGGCAGCAACTTCATTGCTTTTGTATTTGGGAAGACTTGATTGTTAGATGTGAGTCAGGGAGGGCTGAATAAACAACCAGAGCCCAGCAGAAATGCGATGTCATCAGTGAGGTCATTTTGTGGCACACGTCCTGTGGTTTGAGGGTGCCTTGAGAAGACTGGAATTCTCCTGCTCCACTGGATGTCCATCAATCATTGTGTTGCACCCAGGAATGCCGAGGAAGCTGCTGATGTCCTGGGGAGGTCACACTGCAAGACCTTGGAAAGGTCCCAGTGCCTGGGAGCTCTTCCTGATGGATGCAAGAGACACCACAGAGTTGTTTCTTGTGTAGGAACAAGAGAGAGGATCTAGAAATTAAAGCCTCCTTAGGTTGAACTTGGTCCAATGGTGTGGTCCATTTTGATTTCTCAACTTTACATGGAAACCTACTCTGTCATTTAAAGTGTGTTTCTTTACCTCTTTAAGAAATCAAATAAACAAGTAACCAATGATGCTTGATCACGTTTTGCCCAGGCTGGTCTCTGACGTGAATTTGCATATTCTGCATTCAAGACATATGTTTTCATAACTTATATCCTGTCAGTTGTAATATTTTGCTCCTGTTAGGAAAAAAACACTAATTGCTACTGGATGGTCATTCTGATCCTATTTCCTCCTCTGTCATGGTGCCAGCATGTTTTTGTGGAATTCTGTGATCCTGCATCCTTCTCTAGAGGTTGTGTCCATCTGACCTTTGTGGCAGTTTTTAATTTTGAGGAGTAGAGGCCAAAGGATTGGCCACATTATTGCTTTCTGTCAGGCATGTAAAAGATGACAACAAAGCCCACAAGAATTGGGGTGTTATGAGTGAGGTCCTGCCGTGGAACACTCACAGCATCTCCTTTGTCCATTCTTCCCTTCTTGCAAAAATAAAAATCACACATCTCCCATTTCCAATCACAACGAGGATTCTTTGGTTCCCCCCAAACTTTTGCTGTTCAAGCACTTTCTTGCTTCATTAAATCCATGTCTTTCTTCCACTGTATAGCCCAGCACATCACCCCAAATCAGATATCCTTATCTCTGAGGAGACAGGAACTGTCAATTTGCTAGAAATCCTTTTCCAGAAGTTCTTTTGCTGCAAGGATTCATGGCCATCTCTTGAACCTCTTGGTCTTTATTGGTGTCCCTATTTTGTCACCTATTGGTGACAATAATTACATTCTCATGTCTCCAATTAACCCCCAGCTATTCCTGCTGGCCACATTTCTTTCTATGCAGCCCAGGAAATGGTTGGTGGCCTGGGCTAAAAATTCACGTTGCTGTTTCCTTTTAAGATTTTGGTCCACCAGAACACTCAGGTCGTTCGCTGCAGAACTGCTCTTAAGGATTCCCTCTCCAAAGCTGTGCTCATGTTTGGGACTGTCCCAATCCACGTGCAGGACCTTGAACTTGGAGTTGTTGAACCACAAGAGGTTCTTATGTTCTCAATATTCCCAGTGTCCCTCCTGATGGGATCCCTCATTCTTCTTGTGTCAACTGCACTGCTCTGCTTCCCAGCACCTGCAAATATGCTGAGGGTGGTCTCAATCTCACAGCTCATCTCCTCGATCAAGGTATTCAAAAATCACCAGTCCAAGCCAGAGGCCTGGAGACCACATCACTGGTCTCCAGCCATACAGAGAGCCACTGACCATCACTCTCTGTCCGCTCCTCATCCATTCATCAGACCACCTCTGAACCCACGTGCCTGCAGTTCAGAGATAAAGATGCTCCTGGAGATTGTGTTAGAGCCCTGACGGAAGTTCAGGATGATGCCAGTTGCCCTTCCCTTGGCAAGCAAAGCATTCTAGCAGGGAAGGACCTTCTCTTCCTGGTGGAGCATAAATGGATATTGAGTTTTAAATCTCCAGCAGTTACCAGGACAGGATTAGGAACAGAATTAAAGCAGGTTGAGGGAGTTGAACGTCCTGTTCCCCACCACAGGTGAGGCTACATGGACACGAACATGGTTGACCAAGAGCAGTGCAGGGAGACCATGACACTGATGGGAGTGGTGGATCCTTAAGATGAGGAGAAGCTGAGAGAGCTGGGAGTTCTTCCAAGCAGGAGGAAAGAATGCAAATGGGACATGTTGTCAATATGCCATGGGATGACCTCAGTGACAACACCCCAATCTTTGTAAATTTTGCTTGAATCTTCTACATGTCCTGACAGCCGTTGTCCACGTGCGTGTCTTGGCATGCATCATCAACAACAACACCTTGGTCTCTAATTCTCGCAACTAAAAAGTATCACCAAGGTCAGGTGGGGATGGCCTCAGGAGCAAAACATGAAATTGCACAATTCCACAAAGGAGCAACCAAACCATGGCACAGAAGGAAAGAGGAGCTTGCTGGCTGTCCATTACTAATTATTGGGTTTTGCTCATAGAAACAAAACATTAAGACTTATGATTATAAGTTATGACACCTTGTGGCTTGAATGAGGAATAAGTGAATTGATGTCACAGATCAGTTTGGGGAAAAAAGGGATCAAGACTGGTTTGTTGTTATTTACAGGATTTCTTCATGAGCCCAAGGAATACGCTTTAATTGACAGAGTACATGGTCGAATAAATTTCAGAAATCCCAATGGACCATAACAATGGAACACATTCAGCCTAATCAGCCTGTTTTCCAGATTCTCCCTCTTGCTCACATACAAGACGCAAGAGAATATGATCTATTTCAGAAATCAGGAGCAGCTCCCAGGCACCAAAACCTTTCCAAAATATTGCTCAGAGACCTCCGCAGGGTATCAGCAGCTCCCTCAGCATTCCTGGGTGCAACACAAAGACTGATGGACATCCAGCGGCACACAAGAGGAGCCCAGTCTTCACAGAGCAGCCACAAACCACAGAACACGAAGGCCAAAAAATGACGGCATTGATGACATCGCATTTCTGCTGGGCTCTGTCTGTTTATTCAACCCTCCCTGACACACATCTAAAATCAAATCCACCCAAATACCATCTCCAAAAGCTGCCGCCAAGGTCAGATGGACACGGCCTCAAGAGCTGGATATGACACTGCAGAGCTGTGGGAAGGAAAACACTCCAGACCTCATGACTCACCAAGCTGGGCAAGGCAAGAGCTGCTGCCTAAAAAATGCCCCAAAGCCACGAGACAAGGTTGTCCCACCCCTCCAGAACCAACATAAAAGCCAGCCCAGAGCCTCTCTCCCTCACACATTCTCCTGACACCTTCTGCTCCTGCTCCTGCAGACAACCAGGTGAGCCTCAATCCCCTGACCCTCCTGCTCCTGCACCCCTGGCCCCTCTCTTCCAGCACACTCAGCCCCAGCCTCAGCAACCCTGAAACCTCCCCACAGCCCCACAACAGCCTCCACACTCCCCCGTCTTCCTGCATCACGGACCTTCGCACTCCCTCACCCCTTTCCTGCCTCACCCCTCTCTCTCTTCCAGGACCCTCCACACCACACCCATGGCCTGCAACACCCGCTGTGGATCCACCTGCGGACCCACCCCGCTGGCCAACAGCTGCAACGAGCCCTGTGCCCTGCAGTGCCAGGATTCCCGCGTCATCATCAACCCTTCCCCTGTGCTGGTCACCCTGCCAGGACCCATCATGACCTCCTTCCCCCAGAACACCGCCGTCGGATCCACCTCCTCGGCTGCTCTGGGCACTGAGCTCAGTGCCCAGGGACAGCCCATCTCTGGTGGCTTTGGTGGCTTTGGCTACGGCCTTGGCTACGGCCGTGGGTTTGGCTACGGGCTGGGAGGCCTGGGCTGCTATGGCAGGAGGGGTGGCTACATCTGCTAAGGGCTTTCAGCATCACTCCTGACACCAACCAACCACTCTGGAACACATCTGCGGCATTGAAGGATCCTCTCTGTGTCAAGGCTCTCAAACAGGTTCAGCACTTCCAGTTCCTGCTCTCTGGCCACCAAGCAGGGTAGTAGCCACCTGGCCAGCTGGTGCTGCTTGCACGACAGGCCAATCCTCTTCCTCCATTCCCTGCTCTGCATCACCCCTTTGTGTGGTCTCCTCTGCTGCAAACCCCTTCTCCCAAGCCAGAGACCGTGAGGCACCTCCACTGGGCTGCTCCCTCGGTCAGGCAGAAAACCTGGCACAACCTCCTGCACGCCAAGGAGCTCGGCTGATGGTCACCCTACTTGCACCTCAGACCTTCTCCCTTCCATTGCCTGCTCCTGAGTTTTCAATGTTCTTCCTCAATAAAATTTTCCTGCATCGTAACTTCAGATGAGTCCTTCTTCGTTTTTCTCCCAAGACTTTTCCAATCCCTGCTCAGTATTGTACCAGGCATGTAGAGACCACTGGAGTGGGTGAAAAAGTGCTCCAAGACCTCTTTTGCATGTTACTTCCCCTGTTCTGCTACCCACTGGCACACTTTGCTTTTCCAGTGCATTCCATAAAACCTTCAGCTACTGAATCACAGGCTTGTGTACACCAACACAGATCTATCCTGGCCTCTGACACAACCCCCTCATCATCTTCCAGGTCTTTTGTTCCCCTTGGCTGGACACCCGTTGTGTGGATTTCTCTCTCGAGGTTCCTAGGTCAGGGTGACCCCAAGAGAGATCGTAAAGAGTCTTTTCTTCCCTTAGCCCAAATGCAGCCAAATGAGGAGTGTGGAAGGCATCCGATTGCGCTTTCTTGGTTGTTTATTTCTTTTTATCTAAACATTCTTTCTCTGACCTGCTGAGCTCTGGCTAGAAGTCCACCATGGCATTCTGCCCTGAGCCCTGGGTGGGTCCCACATTATATACTCAAAACTACCTGTCTATGTTTACAATTTCTTTACCAATTCCTATCATCTATCTTAGACTGTGAATCTCTATTTTAAACCAATAGAAAAGTGCCACCACCACACCAAGACATGGAGGATAAGACAAAGAAGAAGGAGGATAGGACACACCCAAATTCTTCCATCTTGTACTCCCTTGAACCCCATTCTAAAAATCCCAAAATTCTATATTTCTACCCTGTGTTAGTTAAAATATCACACTACTAAAACCCTTGTGACTTGTAATTCCTCATACAGAGTTGACAGCTTTCCACGGGCTAAAATCAAAGCCACAGATGTTTTTGACTTCTTGCCAGGGTCCCTGAGATCCCTGCCAGGGCAGCCAGAGGGATGTCCTAGACTCTGACGCTGTTCCTCCTGACCCTCATCATCTTCCATGCCCTTCTACATGTCTGCTTCACGCAGGTCCACGTCTTCCTTGTCTCTGTGGGCTCAGAGTTCAGCACAGAACTCTGATTTTAGTACAGGAGAGCAGAGGCTGAGATTCCCTCACTCTCTTGTGCTTCTCACGCTGTGGAGATGAGCCCAGGACACAGGGGGAATTTCTGGTCAGTGACTGCACATGGCTGGGGCACATCCAATTCTTCATCCAACACCCAAAGTCCTCCTCCTTGGGCCTGCTCTCAATCCCTCATCTCTCAGCCTGTATCGTGCACGTTTGGGATTGCTCCATTCCAGGTGAGGGAGATTCTGCCCCTCTGCCCTTCTCTGCTCACACTAGAGATCTGTGTTTATCTCTGGATGACTGGGAATAAGGCAAGACTGCTGGATAACACCCAGGCTATGACCATGAGGATGATCTGGGGCTGAAGGTTTGGGACAGCCATTGGCCACCTCATGGGGCATTTTTTCAGGCATCATCTCTGGCAGATCATAAGGTGGGAAGTGTTTTGTTTCCCTCAGCTTTCCTGTATCATGTCCAGCAATCGGGGATGTGTCTGCCTGGCCTTGGTAGCATCTTTTAATGAGCTGGCATTGGTTCCCAGCCTTGTTGGATGAGGGGAGAGGGAACAATATAATGTACCTGGACTTGTGCATAGCATTTGTTCCTGTACTAGAAGGCATCTGTGTATTCACTCTGGAAGGATGTGGATTTGTGGTTGGACCATGTGGGTGACAAGGAAAGGATGGGATGATCTAACTCAAAGAAGACAGTCTCAGTCAAGCCGTTGTGGCTCCACGTGTGTGGAGAAAAGAAATGACTGGTGACAGGCAAAAGCTCCTACTGGCACCAGGATTATTTCCCAGCTTTGCCAAGGACATGGAGGGTGGGATTGAGTGGGATGTTCAGCAAAATCAGAGACCGGAATAAGCTGAGTAGTGGGGTTGGTTGTCTGGAGGGAAGGGATGGCATCCAGAGGCGCTGGAACGGGTTGGGGATGTGGGATGTTGTCAGTTTCTTGAAGCTGAGCAAGGCCAAGTGCAAGGTCCTGCACGTGGTTTGGAGCAATGCCAAACATGGCTGTAGACTGGACAATGCAGGGGTTGAGAGCAGCCCAGAGGAGAAGGACCTGGGATGTTGGCGGATGAAGAATTGAACATGCCCTGGCCATGAACACTCACAGACCAGAAACTCCCCATGTCCTGAGCTCATCACCACAGCGTGGGTAAAAGTGAGAAGGGAATTCTGACCCTCTGCTCTGCTCTTCAGAGACTGGAAATGTGTATTTGGAACACATGGGCATGCTCAAGCAGAGCTGTAGATGACCCTGGAAGATGATGAGGGTCTGGAGCAACTGGTGTCCAGCCAAAGCGAAAACAAGACAGATACACAGAGTCGATCAGAGGCAGGGATGGACCTGAATTAGCATATCAAGGCCTGGAATCAAGCAAGTGAAGTGTTTGTGGGATGCAATGGAAGAGCAAAGTGTGCCATGTGCACCCATGAAGGAAGAGGACACTTCTCAATGTGCAATGCAAAAGATTTTTATTGAGGCATAAAGAACAGTGAAAGTCATCAACGATACATGGAAAGGGGCCAGTCTGAGGTACAAAAACAACCAACAAGCGAGACGCCTTTTCTTGCAGATGGTTCGGACAGAGCATCAAGGCCTTCCTGCCCCACAGTGGGAGCAGCCTGGTGGTGGAGGTGCCTGGTGGTCTGTGGCTTGGGAGAAGGATTTTGCAGCAGAGCGAGCTGGACAGAGCTGAAGGGGGGATGCAGAGCAGGAAGTGGGAAAAGAGCAGGAGGCAGATGGGCCATGTGTGCAGGCAGCCTGGGCTGGCCCCTCGGCTACTGCCTTGCTTGGTGGCCAGAGAGCAGGAGGTGGAATCACTGAGCCCCTTTGAAAGCTTTGGTCCAGAGATGTGTCCTGAGATGTGACCCAGAGAGTGGGTGGTTGGTGTCAGGAGTGGTGCTGAAAGCCCTTAGCAGATGTAGCCACCCCTCCTGCCATAGCAGCCCAGGCCTCCCAGCCCGTAGCCAAACCCACGGCCGTAGCCAAGGCCGTAGCCAAAGCCACCAAAGCCACCAGAGAT